TAGTCCGTGGGCTTTACATTCCTCCGTCCCCAGTCCCTAGAAAAAGGAATGTTAGTATATTACTAGTCTTTTCAGTATACTCAACAGAATGGACTCTAACCCATCAGTAGAAGAAGCTACCAGATACACCATGGTACTAGTCAGCAACATGGACTCTAATGTGGCAAACCCACTTAAAGACTGGCTTAAATAATCTCTATCTCCTCGTAGTCTATTAAAAACTTAGTACAGAAACATATGAGAGACTCTGCTACCATAAAAATTAAGTAGAATATGCTGTTAGATCATTGGAAATTAGAATTTAGAAACAAAAGTACGTCTGCAATCTGAACGACCACGACAACACTTCTTGTGCAGCTCAGGAATGATTGTGGACACCTGATAAATGGAATGCAACTCGCTTAGTCGTCCGTAAAAGTTTTCAAACGAGGCTTAAGTGCATGAGAAGCTGCTTAATTGCCACCACCGACACAATTCCAGTAAAATCCGGAGTCTTCAGTCTTTTCAAACTTTTCGCCTCTTACTGACACCCACTTACTGAAACTACCCAACCACACCATCGTCGTATCATTTCTCCCAGACCACAAGAAACAGCTACTATTGGCGAAATGTTTTTTTTTAATAAGAATTTTGAACTGTATATAAGTGTTTTATCGTAACTGTGGAAACATTTCAAACATCGACCGAATCAACAAAGATACTACGTGTGTACTGGGGACTATATTAATGCAATATTTCAACACTTGTTTACTGTAATCCCCATAGGACCATTCTGGAGATTAAAACATTCGTGACTCGTGATGAACACGGTACTTCCCTTCCTTATTGACCCTCGTCGACATGCTTTTAGCCCAGTTAAACAATATGGTGTACAACCTAGCTTCGTTTGGCCAGTTTAAGCCTAACCACTTAACGGCATTGTCTAAACCTCAGAACTTTATTTTGCACATGTCAAACAAAAATGATGTAGGACACATGTATATAAACACACAAAAGCTGATGAATATGACACAGCGAAAAACTGGCTATACTTATTTAGGAACGTTTTGCATGCACAGTAGCAGTTTTTATCAGTGTAATACAGAGACTCGATGATGAAGAATTTACAGTGAAGCGAGTTGCAGAATTGGAGTAGTGCAGCGGTTGAAGACATCATAACATGTAGGAAGGACCCACTACTGAAAGTAGGTTAGCCCCATAAGACGGGCATCAGTTTACATCTTCTAGAACTCCATTGCTAAATTAATAGCCTGGCTTATTAGCTTAACTTGCTTCCACTAGTGGGTTACACTTATATGTCACAATGGTTTCAAATTCTTTCTCTGGCTCCATTGCATAGTGTCTGTCCTCGTGCTTCTATATAGACAGATATAACCTGCACATGCAATACGCCTGTTAGTAAAAATAACCAGGTATAGTACGTGTGTCTAATTCATCATGATGCTGATAGTACAGTTTCATTTACTGAGATACATCCAAGATGATTCTTGAACAGGGCTCCAGTTATCTTACTGAGGTTAAATTAGCCTTCAGATAAGGCAAAATATAAAACATAAGGGCAGTTTGGTTTCATCTTGACAATTCCTGAAATGTAAATCATCTTGACTTGGGATTTCGTAATGTAACGATTGTAAACAACACAGAACTGGCTGGAGCTGTTTACATTCGTGTTATTACGATTTCTCGGGTTATTTAAAATGGCTTTCAAGGTACCTGAGAAAGATCCAGCCACAGCTATGATAGTGTGAGATTCGTCACGAGGAATCCATTTTAACTTTCCCAGTGTATATAGAAATACACCTACTTAGGTAAATGTTGTTAGGCCGGAATGGTAAGTTGGTTAAGGCACTTGCTTGTCAGTTACAGGATTGACTAGTGTTATGGAATTTATTCTACCGGCCTCTCTTACCGTTTTCCTCCCTCGAGGAATGGATATGTCACTATGGCAATTGACACCTCATTTCAGAAACCGTGACATTCTATGTATCACCCTTGTTGATATATCTGAATCTTCCATGACTCGATGTTAAGAGATGAAACCTCAGGCCTTAGGGCCTTGAATTTCCGTATGTCTTAATGACCGACATTCTCACATGTCTAAATAATACTCAATTAACACTCATTACTAGCCATCATTTGCAACCTAAACCTTAGGAGGCCAGAGTCCCTGGCGTAGCGAGTTTGAAAGCCAGGGGCAAGCATTCTTAACTAAACTCAGAGTAGGACACGCAGCTGCGTCCTGTGGGGAGCACACAGGGAAGGGCCCCTAATGCCCGCCAGATGAGTGATCGTTACTTTGTGATGTTATCCATGCGTGGTATATGTTGAGAGAGAATGTCGTCCATAAGGATATGGGTGACATTCAGATATAACGACTGCTCATCATCTAGCAAGACAGAAGTGAAAGGGTACCTAGTTCCACTACTCAGAATCGTCAGGCAAATTGAACCTGTGGCCCATAAGTCCATTTTCCCACCTTGTGTAATGGACTGCAATCCATTATCTAGTGTAAGGTAGGTAAGGACACAATGTAACCAAAGTGGTCAGCCATATCACTGATTAAGTGTGTTGGATATCTCGGCCAAATAATGCAACAGGCACCTGACCTCATCAAGGATATCAGATTGGCAAGTGGCCAGTGTCCAGTATACTACTAATAACAGTATAAGGGCGTGGCTACATGTTCAAGCTAGTTATGGGATGGCTGGTATCTATTGCGGATTAGATTCACGATGTGATTATTTAATTGGTGTTAGATAAGAGCAATCTTTTCGACAAAGTAGTCTTTTAAACCGGATGTGGTTCTATGTAGCAGCATGGTTCCATGAGCTAGCGGTGTTCCACGAACCAGTATGTGTTCCATAGTTATGGCTCTATCCGTACTGGATGTTGGTTTTCATGGAACTACCTTTTATAGTCATATCTGACCAGTGTGGTTCTATGAAACATCATGGGCTCATGAACCAGCAGTTGGCCCACGAGGTGCACCAACGAACCAATACACAATGAATGTCATAATCACTGATAACGTAACCTGATTGTGTAAATTAGGTGATCTTGTGTAATTCGCTGTTATATAAGGCACATTTATGTGTGTATGGGGCGTGAATCAAAGCACTCATTGGGGATGCCTCTGCCGGGAGGGTCACCCCAACTCCGTGTAGTGTGTGAAATCACATGACCCGCTCAGCAATGATTTTTTTGCTCCGTGAAGTAAAAACAGACGGCAAGAAATGGAGCCATCGTGGACTGAAAATGAAGCCACTGGAAACAAAGCCAGTGGCGGGCTCACCAAAGCCACTATTATTAAAGCCAAAAATAATTTGTTCTTACAAACATTCAGGGTCTTAAATTGAGTAACAGCAACAAATCATCATTCATAAACGGTTTCCTAGTGTTAATGGAAACCAATGTTGAAGGCTACTTTGCAGAGGTCTGAGCCTAGCTCAGACCTCTGCAACACATTCGTCATCAATTGTCATCAAAGATGTCTTAAGTTATACCATGAATTATGGAAAGTTCCTGGACTTCACCTTACGAAAGCAGACAAAGTAAATGCGATAGTAATTATGGACAAAGTAGATTATAGGTGAAAATAAGCGTGGTATAAGGAGACGGAAACTTACTCGCCTCTTAAGTATTCTATGGATATTGTTCCACTCCACATAAGAAAGCAACTGCAAAAAAATTACAGACCAACAGCTTTAATATCCCGCATTATCATTTTTTTGGAAGGGTTTTAAGAGACAGAATTACCAGTCACATGGAATAGTATAAGTAGCACAACCCATGTCAACATGGGTTCAGAAGACGTCGCTCCTGCCTTGGAAATTCCTGGATCACTATGATATAATCGTGGATGTACTTGAAGTCAAGCGAGAAAAAGGTGTAGAATAAACTGACTTTACAAAAACCTTTGACAAATGCAGTCGTGGGGCAATTACACGGAAAATGCGCATAAAAGGAATAACTGGGAAGGTGGCCGGATGGATAATTATCTTCCTAACAAATAGAACCCAAAGAGTAATATGTATAAACAAAGATAAATCAGCGACAACCACAGTTTACCTGGAGTTTACCTGGAGAGAGTTCCGGGGGTCAACGCCCCCGCGGCCCGGTCTGAGACCAGACAAACCTGAGACCAGGTTTGTCGCACAAGTCTTGCTACTAGCATCACTTTTGTTTCTCATTTTTGTATCTGACATAGGAACATGAGATAGGGACACAAGAGGCTTGGCAGACAGTGCAGGATACCTCCAGTGATGAGCATGGAAGTGCTCAGATTACCGAGAAAAAACTCAGTAAGTGTTGAGGGACCACGACTCTTCAACACCATTCCTTCACTCATAAAGGGGATTACCAACAAACCCCTAGCTGTCTTCAAGAGGGAACTCGCCAAATTCCACAAATCACGCTCCTGATCAGCAGGGATGTAGTGCATGCGTTGCACTGCGGGTGGCGGGCGCTAATAGCTTGATCGATCAGCCTAGCAGCCAATAAGCCTGGTCCTGGACCCGGGCGCGGGGGCGGTGACCTCCGCAAGTGACTCCAGGTAAACTCCAGGTGCACCTAACTTGTTTAGATAAAATATTGTGTCTCTAAAAGTTTCGTCACAGTATTTATTGGTGTTGATCATGTACGTTAGGAAGCGAGCGACATTCCATGTCCGATTTTCTATTTGTTCATTCTAACTTGGTAACTTACTCTGCTTTCGTGGATTATCTTTCCAAAGTGAGTCAGCTTGACTTGAAAGATCATTTATACTTCGTAGGTCGCTTTATCGGAGGCCATACTTTTCTGGTTACCTTGCTATAGTGGGTCCTATTGCCTTGGCGGGTGGGAAGCGACCAACCGAACCTTTAGTGGTATTATCTGAGAGCTAAAGTGTTTGGGTTAGCCAGGATCCACCTTCACATGCGGCCATCACATACATCACAGTACATGCAGAGTCGTCATATCATAGTTGTTAAAACCAGCCCCCTGTGTTGACCTTTCATCAGGACGATCCGAGCAGCCGAGCCGAGGGACTCTCTGGCCTGCAGCCCAACATGACAGCCTCCCACTCCAGCCTGGGTGGTGGGCTGGGAGGGGGGGGCCTTAGTGGGGCTATGAGTGGTGGCCTCAGCACCAGTGGCTTGAGCGGTGCTACGGCAATGTCCACAACAGGCGGCCAGACCCTGCCTCCATATGCATCCGACGGTGATATCACTCCGCCTCCATTTTCTTCCATAAATAGACAATATCTGTGAGTATAACACTGAATGATTTATATTATATATATATATATATATATATATATATATATATATATATATATATATATATATATATATATATATATATATATATATATATATATAGTAGAATGCAGTGCATGGATTGTTAGTTTGCATGGTGAAAAGTAGGCATTTAAATAGTAGAATAATACTAAATATGAGAAGATTCTATATACGCATATCAAGGTTATCTTGACCATATACCATCACAGGACATTTAGCAGTGAACAAAGACCTACAGTGCCAAAATGTATTGCAGGACTTCGTGCCAATACACAAGGCGGTAACGACGTCCGTATTTCAGGCCCAGGTAAGAAACTAAGTGATCCTTATACAAGTGAAACTCACAGGTGACCATTGCAGTCAGAGTCGTAAGGTTACGTGTAGAATAATGTCACCCATGTTTTCCTAACTTACTGAAAACGATAACTCAAACACCTTCGTGAATAATTCACAGCGCTTTGAAAAATACTCTTGAAATATGTGGGAAGATTTTGCTCATACAAGAATTAAACATATAAAATAATAAACAAAATATAATACTATATATATATATATATATATATATATATATATATATATATATATATATATATATATATATATATATATATATATATATATATACATATACGTGTGTGCATACATACATATGTACATACATGCGTATTGGAGTGCGAGGCATAACAGACATATGTCCTCAGGTCTCTGTAAAATTTTGTATTTAAAAATTAGCGCGTTAAATTTAAGCCTATTAACCAAAAAGTTATTAACACGCGTAAGAAAATTTATATCAAAGGTTAAGTTAAATTCTCTGTATACTTACATATTAATTAAAAAATACCTCTCTGTGAATATAAGGTGCTTCTCAGAATGTTTGTTCTTCAACGAAGCTTGGTACAATGTAAATCTTCAGAATTTACATTTTGTGTTTGGTAAGAGTCGACTAACACCCAGGTATTTTTTCTGTTGCTAGTTGAACATGGACAGCAACTGTGACAAGGCTGTCCCTTACTACTACTGTGTTTGATCACTGGGATTTGGCTTGTGAGAAGGTAACACTGACCACTGATACTGCGTCCATAGCTATTCAGGTGTTCCTGACCTTCCATCAGTACTCGTTGTGTCTCTACCTGACCTTCCATCAGTACTCGTTGTGTGTCTACCTGACCTTCCATCAGTACTCGTTGTGTCTCTACCTGACCTTCCATCAGTACTCGTTGTGTCTCTACCTGACCTTCCATCAGTACTCGTTGTGTCTCTACCTGACCTTCCATCAGTACTCGTTGTGTCTCTACCTGACCTTCCATCAGTACTCGTTGTGTCTCTACCTGACCTTCCATCAGTACTCGTTGTGTCTCTACCTGACCTTCCATCAGTACTCGTTGTGTCTCTACCTGACCTTCCATCAGTACTCGTTGTGTCTCTACCTGACCTTCCATCAGTACTCGTTGTGTCTCTACCTGACCTTCCATCAGTACTCGTTGTGTCTCTACCTGACCTTCCATCAGTACTCGTTGTGTCTCTACCTGACCTTCCATCAGTACTCGTTGTGTCTCTACCTGACCTTCCATCAGTACTCGTTGTGTCTCTACCTGACCTTCCATCAGTACTCGTTGTGTCTCTACCTGACCTTCCATCAGTACTCGTTGTGTCTCTACCTGACCTTCCATCAGTACTCGTTCAGTTGTCAATACCTGACTACACAGCACTACTAGGCTCTCCCTGTGTCTCAACCTGACTGTGTCTTCCTGGTCGCGTCTATTTGACTACATATCTCTGTCTACATAGACAATCATGAAATGAATCAGAGAGGTTCTTAGAAAGTAACTGAGAACTGGTCGTCAGAACAGTATCTGGAAAAGTCTGAGAAAAAAAATTAGTCTCAAGCATATCATCAGAGATAGGTTTTAAATGTTTCCTTCTTAATGACGTACTGAGAAATGAAGAAAATTAATGACATATGTATAGGATATAGTCATTATATGATTGCCTGATTTTTTTATTTCGTATAGTATTTTTGTAAATTAAGAACGCATCATTGTATAGGGTACAAATTTTCGCTGTTGTCGTACGGTAAGTAGGAAAAGATTCGTGCAGGTATTGTCATGTGTACATGTTCTCTGGGCAAGTTTGTATAGACCCTTTCTAGATATGGTTTCTATGGGCTAACATGAGAAAACCTCTGTTATAAGGCATCGAATTTTGAACGCGTGAGTATCTAGGAAGAAAGTGGTAATTGTTGTTGGAGTGTGTAGGTGTTATGTTGCCGATATATTAAAAATGGTTTAATATTATTTTCTCTGAAATAACTAGAGTATACTCCATCTTAACAGGTTCAGTCTTTAATGGTTGGTGCGATACATGAACAAGATAGTACTAAATATTTTTAGATTTTATAGATGCAAAATTTTCAGTTTCCTTACATAGTTTAAAAATATGTAATTGTTGGATTTTAAGCTATAGCTGTAGAATGCTTCTTCTGATGGTCTTCAAACTTTAAGTAAATGTTGAAAGTAAATATTGAGCTGTATATGCTCTAATTTGCCTGTTTTATGAAATAACTTATTTTCCTTGAAAAAATAAAGAATGCTTCCTCTAATCGGATTCAAACCTTAAGCTCTGGCATATTATAATTAGAGGAAGGTTTGTTATATCATGTGTTATGTAGGTGTCTACCTACCTACCTACCTGGAGTCTACCTGGAGGGTATTCTGGGGATTAACGCCCCAGCGGCCCAATCCATGACCAGGCCTCCTGGTGAATCAGGACCTGATGAACTAGACTGTTACTGCTGGTCGCACGTAGTCCAACGTACGAACCACAGCCCTGCTGATAAGGTGCTGACTTTAGGTATCTGTCCAGCATTCTCTTGAAGGCAGCCAGGGATTTGTTGGTAATTCCCTTTATGGCTGGTGGGAGGCTGTTGAACAGTCTTGGGCCCCGGACACTTATTGTGCTTTCTCTCAGTGTACTAATGGCGCCCCTACTTTTCATTGGTATATTGCACGGCCTGCCATATCTTTTATTTTCGTAGGGAGTGATTTGTGTGTGCAGTCCCTTTAGGATTTTCCGGGTGTAGATTATAATGTATCTCTCTCGCCTGCGCTTCAGTGATTACAAGTCAAGTGCTTCCAAGTGTTCCCAGTAGTTAAGGTGTTTGACGGAACTTATAGGTGCAGTAAAGGTTCTCTGTACATTCTCTAGATCTGCGATTTCATCTGCCTTGAATTAAAATGTTTATGCTCAGCAATATTCCAGCCTAGAGAGAATAAGTGATTTAAAAAGGATCATCATTGGCTTAGCATCTCTTGTTTCGAACGTTCTCATTATCTATCCTATCATTTTTCTTGCTGATCCGATAGTTGCACTGTTGTTTTCCCTGAAAGTGAGATCCTTAGACATTACCACTCCCAGGTCCTTCACATTACTTTTCCTTTCTATTGTGTAATTAGAGTTTGTAGTATGTTTAATTCTTCCAGTTTTCCATAACGAAGTAGTTGGAATTTGTCTTCATTGAGCTTCATATTGTTCTCCGTTGCCCCTTGAAAAACTTGGTTTATGTCTTCTTTGAGATTTACCGTATCTTAAGTTGATACCCTCATGCGGATCCCAGTATCGTCTGCAAAGGATGACACGGTTTACATCTCTGTGTCTGATATGAGGATAAGGAACAGGATGGGGGCCAGTACTGTGCCGTGTGGAAGAAAGCTCTTCACTATGGCAGCTTCCGATTTAACTCTGTTTACCACTACTGCTTGTGTTCAGTTGGCTAGATCGATCTGCCCACTTTACCAGTTATCCCTTTAACACACATTTTGTGCACTATTACACCATGATCGCACTTGTCAAAGGCTTTTGCAAAATCTGTGTATACTACAACTGCATTCCGTTTGTCTTCCAGTGTTTCCAAGACCATATCACAATGATCCAGTACTACATCATTTGTGGTGTTCAGTATCTCCCTGCAGATGAGCAACTGTCTGACATACAGGCCAACCCCCCCCCCCCTTGTTGCCTGCTCTTTATGTCGCATCTAAAAAGGTTGTATTCAATTATCCACATTCCATCGTCAAAGTAATCTTTTGCGTGGGTCTCTGTGAAGGCTACAGACATCGCTTTTGACTCCTCTAGAAGTCCACTGATGAAAGGTATTTTGCTGTTGGTGGATTTCTTAATGTCCTGTATATTAGCAAATGTAAATGAGGTTGTGTTGAGTGTGAGAATTTCATTGAAGAAATTGTGGCAATTAAAATATCGATTTAAATGTAATAATTTGTGAATTCTTCGCCCGATCGTCTTCAAACTTTCAACGTACTTACCAGAAGGATTAAATTTCTGTTTTACTGTACAAGTGCCAATTTGCAAAATTTCATTTAATCCCTTAGCCATTTTGTCTATTGTGTCAAATGGGATAACATTATGGAAATTCCGGTTTATTAAAAATACATAAAAACCAATGTAGGATTTTAGAGAGATTGATTATATACCCGAGTAAGAAAAATTATATAAAAAACTAAAAAAAACTCGCTTTTTTATGAAGTTTTAAAGGCTTTACAAGTTTAATGTTTTAGTTTTCTTTTTTTTCCCCCTCTAAGGTTTTCGTTTATAACAAAAGAAGCGCCATCAAATGGGTTTCAAAATTTTAATAACAGTGGACTGTAATTAGAAGAAATCACGGAACGGGCGAGGTTTGAACCTATGGCCAGTTGGATGAATCTATAAAAACCACTCCGGCTGAGACTTTTATGACTCACTCTGCCATTCATTTCAAACTGCCATTCCGTTCCTGGTTTGTTTACCAATCGTGTTTTACGATTTCATGAGCTCATAATAGGTCAAAAATTCAAATAAAGTTTTTGGCATGGCTGGAGGAGAATATTGTTGTAATTCTTGTAGGTGGGAGATTAAGTACTGGGAGTATTAGAAATAAGTTAGGGAGGTAGTGGAGAGAAGTAATAGGGAGAAATGGATAAAGTAAGGTTTGGATGTAGGGAGGATATGTAATTGTAAGGTAGGGAGAGAAGTAAGTAGGGAGGTAGGGAGAGAAGTAAGTAGGAGGTAGGAGAGAGAAGTAAGTAGGGAGGTAGGGAGAGAAGTAAGTAGGGAGGTAGGAGAGAAGTAAGTAGGAGTAGGGAGAGAAGTAAGTAGGGAGGTAGGAGAGAAGGAGGGAGGTAGGGAGAGAAGTAAGTAGGGAGGCTAGGGAGAGAAGTAAGAGGGAGGTAGGTTTAGAGAAGTAAGTAGGAATAGGGAGAAAGTAAGTAGGGAGGTAGGAGAGAAGGAAGGATGGGAGTGTAGGATCAGAAAAGT